CGCAGATGCCCCACCGACCATGCCCTCCCCAGGCGCCCGGCCGCCCTCACATCGCCCACTCGCCTGCCGCGCTTCCGGGAAACGCCAGGGAGGAGATTCGCGCTCTGCGGCTCCCGACACCTCGCGGCTCTGACCCCCGAAAGAAGCGCCCTGGCGGCCTCGCCGCGCCCGCTCTGAGGCCCAGGCTGAGGGGAGCCCCTCCGGCGGCTGTCCGCTGAGAGACAGGAAGCGGGATCCAGGTGGCCCGCGCCCTGGAGAACTGCAGACATGGTGCGCTCCCGGGGAGCTTCGGGCTCCGCGGGTTTCTGTTTTTGTTTTTTTATCATTTATAGTTAGCATGTGTTTATGTTAAAATTACCATACGTTTTTCGTTTAAAATACATTTTTATTGATTTCAGAGAGGGAGAAAGAAACAGAAACATCAATGATGAGAGAGAATCATTGATTGGCTGCCTCCTACACACCCCCAAGGGGTGAAAAGCCTGCAACCTGGGCATGTGCCCCCACCAGAATCCAGAATCCTACAGCAAACTCTCAGTGCATTGGACAACGCCCAACCTACTGAACCACACTGGCCAGGGCGCAGATGTCATTTCAGAAAGACTTCCCTGATGATGACCTCCCACCTGCCTCCCTGCCGTTTTCCTTCGCTGGTTCTCATTTTGCTGTCAACAGTATTTCCCTGTAGCTCCGATCTCCACTTGACAGCTATTCAATGACAGTTACTCTGCCCCACTTCAGTTTCTTCTTTCCCAGACTAAACAGTGCCTTTCTGGCAGCCACCTCTTGTGCAGTGTTCTCTCTAAACCTCTTACCGTGTTGGGCATCACGCTGTAGACATGCTGCGTTTGTCAGGCCGGGTCTGATTCAGATACTGTAGTAGGCCCTGGAAGGGAAGTGATTAAGGAATTCAAAAGAGATCCCTGCCCTTGGGGAGTTTGCCACTTACTTTCTATCAGGCTCCTTAGAAGAAATTGGGGTCTCTTCGCTCTCTACCCACTTTTCCACTTTAGCTAATACTTGTCCTGGGACTAGGTCCTTTTCTCTAGAACTGATGTTAACCCACGTCTTTGTTTTTAGTTGGCTGGCTTTTCTTCTTTTTGTTTGTTTTTTTC